ATCCCACCCCTTTGCCCACGGGCCTGAACGCACAATCCTCCAACAACATCACACGGAAATGTCCACCTACGCCTCTCATAGAGATGGAGCATAGAGAGCGAGAAGAATGACCCCAGCGTGACCTTCTCGAGCCCACGAGGCAAGAGTCCGACCATCCGACCGAGCTTTGATATACTTTTACGCTTTTATATCTGTGCGCGTTTGGTAATGTGCTTTTTATGTAGCCATGAATGAAGCTAACAGTGCAATATGGCAGTGGAGTAAAGCAATATCGTAGAAATACTGTTATTTTCTCTGTTATGGAAGCTTTTGTTGGCATATCTCCAAAATGGTATGTTGAAGATCTGTTATAATATTGTTGAAAACTACCACTGCATGACCTCACGAGATGGAACAAAGCATTTTGAGCTTTGTAGATGTAGATTGACTAATAATAAAGTCTTACTCAAATGTGTGAATGAAACAAAACACAACACGGTACGTTTTTGGTGAAGTAACAGCATTATAACATGGCTTAATGCTAGTCAATTTTGTGTATCGTATTTTTCCAAATATAAGTCGCTCCGGAGTATAAATCGCACCAGCCAAAAAATGTGTAATGAAGAAGTAAAAAGCATATATAAGTCGCACTTTTTGGGGGAAATTTATTTTATGAAATCAGAGACCAGGAACCGACATTTCATCTCGAAAGCCAAGTTATAGTAATAATAACAGAACAGTGAACAACAGACTGTTACATATGAACAGTTCTTCAGATAAACTATAACATAAACAACAGAACAGAACAAGTTTACCAAACTCTCCATCTCACTCCAAATCACTAAATCCATTAACATTCTTCATCCTCAGTGTCACTTCTGAGCAACTCCACGACCTCCGGAGGTAAACGGAGCGTCGCTTCCTCTTCTGTGTTGCTGTCATCAGACTCAGCATCAGTTCCAGTTAGAATTATTCCGTTTTTTCTGATTCCCGACAGGATGGTTTCGATTGTCACTGAAGTCCAGGCTTTGTCGATCCATCCAGTGACTTTCATGGTGCATCCTCCCAGTGTCACAAGTTTCTCGCTCAGTCCAAACTTTCTTTCTGCTGCTTGATCATCATTTTCAGCTGAATATTTAACTACTTGCAGCTTGTAATCTGCAAAATATGATTGTCTTTTGGGGGCATTTGTGTTCAGTCTTCTCAGTCATCTTTCAGTTTGTTTAAATTTTTTAATTTTTGGTGCGATCGACTGACATGATACAGACAGAACAGAGGCTCTTTCTGCAGGAGACATGCGCAGTAGAGGGTGAAGTGACAGTGGTACAGGAGCAGCAGATACTGACAAGACTAGAGCCTCTCGCGGCTGTCAGTGTAAAAATTGTAATATATGTTCACACACTGGAGTATAAATCGCAGGACAACCCAAATCATAAAAAAAAGTGCTACTTAAAGTCGGACAAATACGATAATATAGGAACTTTAAAAGAACACATATGGTGCATTCTTGTGGTGTTATTTCCTTTTTAAACATGCTTTTGTTTACTTTAGGATTAGTATTTCACATTTTCTTAATAAAATAAAGTCTGCATTTGTAATATGTATGTTGGTGTTGGAGCTCCCTCAGCTGTCAACAACAGAAAAACATTTAAAAAGTAACTAAACAATTGAAGTTCTTATGCCTCATGAATGCTGTTCTAATAGAGCCTTACACTCGTGAACACAGTTTGACCACAGAATTAGTCCTGTGATGGTTTATGGATTTAAAACTGCACAGGAGAAGTTCAGATATTTACTTGTGACCCAACAATCCTCTACACAAATGTACAACAACTCACCCTTATATAACAGATAAGCCTGTTTCTGTCAATCAAATATCATCTTTGCACTTTTTCCTCATGTTCTCTTGTATATAGCGGTGATATACTGTATTTACATTACGATATTTGTGGTCCAAGTAATTTCCCTTGTGGATCAATGAAGTCTGTCTAAGTCTAAGTCCAACAAATCTGGCCAATATGCAGACTGAGTTCTCAGAAAAGAGAGAGAATTGAAACAAAATACAACTCCAGATGAAGAGAGGACAACTATAACATGGATAAAAGGTCAAAAAATACATTTAGCAAACTGTGTTCTTTACAGTTAATGTAACGCGAAATGTTTTCAGATCTTTTAACCACGTCATAGTTGTTGCCCTTCTCATTTACCCTCCTCAAGTTGTATTTGGGGTGATTCATGCATGTTTGTGTAATCTTCTTTCTCCCGTTTTCAGCGCCACCGGCACACGCCCACTGCTCTGTGCTCACTCCACTCTCCAGTTTTATTTTCTTAATCTCAGATACACATCACAGCCATTTTAGCACGAATGAAAAAATTAATCTGTAGCAGTCGGGGCTGACGTTTGTGATGACGTTTGCAGTGACGTTTTTTCTCTCTTATTAATTGTTTTGGATGAAAGTTGAGATCTTAAGTGTCCAAAACACAACATAGTGACCCACAAAAATCATCATCATTATAACAACAGCAGACAAAAGCAGAGTATGTCTTCTTTGTCTTTCTTTTGTACATTTCAGAGCACTAAGAGAAGGCAGGACTACAGTTTTGTTGCTTAATTAATAAAGCTGTAACAATATCAAAATCTCTCAATACGATATTTTCACGATATACATCTCAGTACGACATTTATTGCGATATTTTGTGGAAGCTTACAAAATTGTGAATATGCTACTTTTTTTCCTTTTAAAAGCCTTGAACAGCCTTTGGTACTGTTATAAAGCGAAGAATTAAGATTTAAAAGTACTTAACAAGTTATTTCTTCATGTACTCCGCACTGACAACACTAAAGGATCATGGTCTATGTAGTTCTCTCTAATTTTTAGCTATTGCTGCAGCATGGCAAGGCAAGGTAAGTTTATTTGTATTGCATAATTTGTACACAAAGTAATTCAACGCACTTTACAGAATAAGAAAGACATTAAAATCACAAAGAAAGACATTAGAATCACCAAAAGTAGTAATTTAAACAAGCACTTGTATTCGATATATTGTGATGGCCCACGATATTATTGTGAGACTTTTGACGATACGATATCACGATATTTCAGTTATTGTTACACCCCTATTAATTAAAGGTCCTATATTACGCAAAATTGACTCTTGTGAGCTTTAACTCTTCCAGACTGACGGTAACGTATATGATACCTGGGAATACGTTCCATAAAACTGCACATAACTTTCCAACCATAAAAGATAGAAACTTACGTTTTTGGAAAGCTGAGACTTGTTAGCCAGGCCGGCGCCACCTAGTGCCTCCGCTCAATTTCATTTCTCTCCAGTGACTAGGTTAGGGATCAAAATACAACAGATTGTTCGCAAAAACCCCGGAAGTACGAGTTTGGGCACCAACCACTCAGCGAAGAGCCATATATTCAGTGTTGTTGACGATTCCGGAGATCAAGGATTTGAAGCTGGAACAAAGAGAATGTTTGGTGAATTTTATCAAGGGGAAAGACGTTATTGTCCTTCTTCTTACAGGATTTGTGAAAAGCTTAATAAACCAGTTAGCCCCGTTAGCGACGCATTACATACGTGACGACCAAATAGCAGTGATTGGTTAAATAAAAAAGTACCTGCCTACCATCGAATGAACGAATCCTAACGTTGTGAGGTCAGTTTCTATGAAGTGAAACGAAGTGAAACCAGCTGATGAATCAGGCTAGAGACTTGCGGCTTTCCAAGCATATTTCCAGCATTATCGCTGTGTGATGACGTAGAGAAAATGAGTGTCCAATAGGAACTTTGTTTTCCGCCAAACTCGTGCTCTCCATCCATTTTGATTGGCCCAAACTTTGCCAAAGAGTGTAGTAAGTCAAGTAACAATAGAAAAAGCCGGGTCTCCCTGCAGACAGATATAAGGAAGTGTCCACCAGCATTCTGACCAGAACTGAGGAGGCAGCTTGGATGAGCTGCGAAACGTATTTCTGCTCTGATCGCTTTTAATACAGCCATATGACACAACTACAGCATGCAGATTCTGCAATAATAAGTTATACTGAAAGGATAAGAAGAATGTTTATCACTTCATTAGGAGGTAAAAAGGGGAGTTTTAATAGCAAAATTAAGAAAAAATCCAGGCGAGGACAAATGTATTAAAATTTCCCTTAGGTCTGTTAGGATTAAATCAACGATTCTTAACCATAAAGCAGTGGCCCAAACTTGGGCCTCAAGCGCCACCTAGAGGGCTGCAAAAAACTGCGTTAACAGCGTTTCACTTGTTAGCTTACTTTACAGACACATTAAATAACTTTTTTAGTCCAGAATCAAAATTTTTTACAATGTTACAATACACTACACAACATTATATATATTTGTCATTATTTTGTAGAGTATTAAAATTAAATGTTTATGCTGTGATGTTGTATGACATGTCCATTTATGCAGACCAGAACTGTTCACGTTTGCTCAATCAGTAGGCCTAACGGTAAACAAACAAACTCACAAAAGACAATGTTCAGCTACAAAAATAAAGTTACAGTGTTATTATTTAATATTTAAAGGGCACTGCGCAACTGCATTGGAAAAATTGGGTATCAAAAAGGTTAAGAACCCCTGGGATAAACCATGTCATCAGAAGAAGACCTAGAGTTGCGTTTTGTTTCATTCATACAACTCCAGGTCTGTTTGTGATGAGGAAACAACATTATAACACAGATCACAAACAGGGTCATATATGTACTTTAAATAAAAAACTACTCATATTTTTAGAATGCAGTCTACATTTTCACTGTTTTGATGATACAATTAAGTGTATTTTTGAAACTGAATGCGCAAGAAGCGGTTTAACAAGTACATGCTGTCAAACACTGAACATAAAAAGATGAAATTACTGTTTTCAGAGGTGGCACAATAGAATAAATCAACCGCTTCTATGCAACAAAACAAATACCAAAAGGACAACAACAAAAGCCTTTCGCGTCATCTCTCTGCACACGCCCACCACCCGCGTCCCGAGTGGTCCTTACCTGATGATGACGTACATAACCAGGAAGTTGCCGACCAGGCCGATGACGCAGACGATCATGTAGACCACCACGATGGTCACCTTGACGCTCGTGGGCAGCAGCATGTCCGTCTCGTTGTAGGGGCTGCTCAGGTTGCTGTGGAAGAGCGAGTCGTTGTACAGCTGCAGGTGGCTCAGCTCCGTCAACAGGAAGTCGTCCGAGAAGTCCATGTTTGGTCGAAGGGGAGGGGCTCAGTTTACCTGGGGGAAAAACAAAACAAAACTTTATTGGCGAGGTGAGTTTATTCGTATGACACAGTTCATTCACATGTGATTCAGAAAGTTTTACAGAATAAGAACGATATTAAAATCACGATACAAATAAAATTAAGACATTATTACATTGTTTGATCCATTCTTCGATCCCATTAAAAGGCGCTGGAGGATTTTATTTATTGTTTAGTTCCAGTCAAATGAAGCTCATCGAGGACACAGGGATAGGGATTAATCTGGAACCAGGATCTTTTTTTTTGATATCTGAGATCTTTTTTTTTTTTTTGTCTATATACGAACCAGGACTAAAACAGGTCTAAACCAGGACTAAACCAGGACTGAAACAGTACTAAACCAGGACTGAGACTGGGACTGAGACCGGGACTGAGACCAGGACTGAGACCGAGATTGAGATCGGGACTGAGATCAGGACCAGTCCAGGACTGAGACCGGGACCAGTCCAGGACTGAGACCAGGACCAGACCGGTACCAGACCGGACTGAGACCGGACTGAGACCGGGACTGAAACCGGGGCTGAGACCGGGACTGAGATTGGGACCAGTCCAGGACTGAGACTGGGACTGAGACCAGGACCAGACCAGGACCAGACTGAGACCAGGACTGAGATCGAGACTGAGAATGGTTTAATCCTGTTAAAGTCCTGGTTCAATCCTGGTTTAGGCCTAGTTTAGGCTTGATTTAGTCCTGTTTAGTCCTGGTTTAGTTCTGGTTCAGTCCAGCATCGCAGTTTAAGTCACGGAAACAGGAAACGTCCACTATCCGTTTTTTTCCATTATTCATTTAAACACAAAATCGAAAACTGAAAAAACAAAACAAAAAAAACAAAACAAAAAAATTGTTATCTGTTCTGGGAGAAAGAAGGCCCCTGATTGGCCTGTTATTAATGTTTCAGCAAAATGAAAACACCAGGATCAAGTAAAACAGGTTAATAAGAACAATTTAAGACCAAATTAACGAGGCTCACTGCAGCAGAACATCTAAACTCCACCTAGAACACGGAAAGCTACGTTTAACCTCAAAAGACGAAGTGCGGCCGACCATGAGGCTTTGAAATTTGTCATTTTTTTATTCCCTTTGGTCGACCATCTGGTAAAAAAGGAACTGTAAAGCTCCTGGACAAGTACAAACGGGTTAGAGATTAATAAAAATCTCAAACCAGTTTATTTTCAGTCAGATGATTCAGGACCAGTTGGTACTCCAAACCCACAAATAAAAACAAACTGAACAGGACATTTATAGAAATTCCGCCAAGACTTTTTCTTTTTTAGCCAAGTCCCCAAATGTAATTTTTAGCGAAATATGCTTCAGCTTTGACATGGGAACTGTCAAAGCCCAACAAGATCCCTGCAGACACCAGCAACACCAGAAATAATCCAGACGAGACTTGAAATTCTGCCGCTCCGCTGTTCTTAACTTGTCCTGGTAATGAGAGCAGATCAGACAGAGGCCAAAACCGCACACTCCATCCATTTGTCTGCGCTCCAGATGATTCAGACAGATTCAGTTTGAGTTGGGCTGATTTTAGTCTGGTGTTACGGGATTAAAGGTGCACTGTGTAACTTTTTGGAGAGGGTCCAGTTATTGCTTTTTCAGTTACAGGAGTAGATCTAACAGTCTGGATGACAGGTTAAAATATTACAGATTTAAAGGGACAGTTCGGAATTTTGGACAAAAGACCTGATTTCCTAGTGAGCCAGAGTGTTGGAGACGTGTGGAGACACTTTTTTAATTATTCCATCCAGTCCTTGTATTTGCAGAGGTCACTGATGCTAGACTAGTGCATGTCAATGGTCATAGTTATCCTGGTCTTACCCACTCCACAAAACACCCGAAGAAAATCTATTATTACGCCAGACTGTCCATGGTTTAGTCCTGGATTAGTCCTGGTGTTAGTTCTGGTTTAGACTTGGTTTAGTCCTGGTTTAGACCTGGTTTAGACCTGGTTTTAGTCCTGATTTTAGTCTTGATTTTCTTCCTGGTTTAGTCCTGGTTTAGTTATGGGTTAGACCTGGTTTTAGTCCTGATTTTAATCCTGGTTTAGTTCTTTTCATCTTGGTTTTAGTCCTGGTTTATTCCTGGTTTTCACCTGGTTTAGTCCTGGTTTTGTCCTGTTTAATCCTGGTTTAGACTTGGTTTTAGTCCTTATTTTAGTCTTGGTTTAGACCTAGTTTAGTCAGGGTTTAGGTCCTTTTAGTTCTTGTTTAGTCCTGATTTTAGTTCTGGTTTAGTCCTGGATTAGTGCTGGTTTATACCTAGTTTAGACCTAGATTTAGTCTTGATTTAGGTCTAGTTTTAGTCTTGATTTTAGTCCTGGTTTAGACCTAGTTTAGTCAGGGTTTAGGCCTGTTTTAATCCTGATTTTAGTTCTGGTTTAGTCCTGATTTTAGTCCTGGTTTAGAGGCACGGCCCATGCAGCACACACAAGGCAAAAACTGTTATTTTTTCTGTTTGCGTGTGTTGCGCCTCACCTATTGAAACCACTGATCATTGTTATAATTGTTTCTAATGTTTCCTTACCAAAAACATCCCTAAAGTTGTGGGTTTTTTTTTCATTAACACACAAATCCTGCATATTTAGGCTGAGTTCTTCCCTCAAACAGAAAACAAAACACAACTCTGGGCATGTTTTCGATGAGTTAACAACAGTAGCTCGTGACTTAAAGCTCACAAGAATCAATTTTGTGTAATATAGGACCTTTAAACCTCCACCTCATAAATTGTAGTCTGCATCCACCCACCTCCACACCAGCAGACTCCATGTGTGGTTGTGAACTCATTACAGCTGCTGCCAGTGAGCTTTTTGTGGGCTAAAAGAAGGGAACCCTGGGGCCAGACTGGAGCTTCCAGCGCTTGTTCAAAACGCCTCCAGAAAATCAAGACGGAACAAAAATTCAAATCAAAAGCTGTAGACTTGGCAAGGCTGTCAAAATTCACAATAAGAAATGGCATTGGGATGTGGTTAGGAGGGTAAACGTATTGGTAAAATGATGTAAGAGTTAAAAGAGAATTTGAAATCAGTGTTAAAAAGTTTTGGTAGGAAATAAAAAAGGGCAGTATCTGATTTTTACTGTGTTAAAATGTGAAAAACAGAACTCCCTCACTTAAAGGTTGTATAGAGGATTTTTTTAAGGGAAGAGAAATACAGCGACAGTCCCAGAATTACTGTTGAAGTGACCTGTCTAGAAGTAATTCAGCGACCGACGCGTCAGTTTTTAGACCCTTCGTCTGCTTCGGTCGCGCCATCGCTGGACGAGATCTCCAAGAATCACCTCAGTTTGGCTTTGCTCCTTTTCCTCTTCTCTTCTTCTTTCAGCGACCTCAAAAACGGACTTTCTTTTGCGGCGAAACGGTCGTGGATTCTCGTCCGCCATCGCCATTTCGCACAAAGTTTGTGCGAAATGCGAGGAAGCGACAGTTCGAAAATGCCTCTAAGAAAAGCTGCGTAAACCACGTAATCCCCCGCGCTCCGACGACTCAGTTACACTAGGGAGTTTGATTGACAACCTAACAGCCAATAGAAAATGAGGCAGCCTCGTTTTCTATTGGCTGATGTTTATCTGGCCTCAACACATCCACAGTTGATAGATTTTCGTTCTTTTTTTTTTGGTCATCATAATTACAAAGCTGCTGCGTCTCTCTCTAATGGTATTTTAATCTTTCACTGACAATTTGAAACTAAAAAAAAATCCTCCATACAACCTTTAACTTTTGCATTCTGAGCATTGTAATTATTTACCACGATGAGTTTATAAGCGCTTTTCACAACACAGCAAAGTGGAGGAGTTTAGAACTTATGGTAAATCTAAAAATAACTAACATGTTAACACACACTCCCTGATAATCAAACATTAAAACGGACAAATTTTGACCTAAAGAGCTGTCAATACAACAGGAACTTTAAGTGGTAGTACCTCCTATTTTATATAACAAAGTAAAATTATTTTTGCCTCTTAGTGCCTCTTTTTGCATGAAAATCAGACTGCTGTGTGCTGTCTGCGTGTCATTATTACTGTATTTTTTGGACTTTATAAGTCACTTTTTTTTTTCATGGTTAATGTAATAATGGAAAATACCTCAAATTGAAGGATTTTCTCAGCAATTGAGGATTAATTACAGCTAATTTATATATTAAAATTTTCACACTGACAGCCATAAGAGGCTCTAGGCTTGTGTGCCAGAGTCTGCTGCTACTATTACTCCTGTACCACTGTCACTTCGCTCTACTGCGCATGTCTCCTGCAGAAAGAGCCTCTGTTTTGCTGCAAGTAGTGAAATATTCAGCTGAAAAACGATAATTGAGCAGCAGAAAGAAAGTTTGGAGTGACCGATAAACTTGTGAGGGACTGACGGAAAGCGGGGATGGAGAACTCAGCTTCTTGGGAACATGGAGGATGCACCATGAAACTTTCCTGGAAGTCACTGGATGGATCGACAAAGCCTGGACTTCAGTGACACTGAAACCATCCTGTCGGGATTCAGAAAGGCCAGAATAATTCAATCTGGAATTGATGCTGAGTCTGACGACAGCTACACAGAAGAGGAAGCAGCGCTCTGTTTACCTCCGGAGGTCACGGAGTTGCTCAGAAGTGACACCGAGGATGAAGAATTGAATGGATTTAGTGATTTGGAGTGAGATGGAGAGTTTGCTAAACTTGTTCTGTTCTGTTGTTTAAGTTATAGTTACCTGAAGAACTGTTCATATGTGACGTTAACAGTCTGTTGTTCTCTGTTCTATTGTTTTTATTATAACTTGCCTTTCAAGATGAAATGTCTGTTCCTGGTCTCTGATTTTATAAAATAAATTTCCCCCAAAAACGTGCAGCCTAAACTCTGGAGCGACTTATAGTCAGAAAAATATGGTAATTGTTTTTATCTGTTGCGAACTAGGAAGCAACTAATGCTTGTGCGCTGTTAGCATGCTAGTTGTTAAGCTTTAC